AGTGATATGGTACACACTTCGGTGATATATTTTTATCCTTCTTACAGATAATTATCACTCCTTTGTATAAAATAAAATGGAACATTATTCAATTGGTTTTACTGTTAGTTTTAATCATTTAAAATAGTGGTCTTAGTTATTGCAATTTTTCTTAACTTCTTTCTTTAGTCTCTTGTATATAAACTGGGTCTACTATTTCTAACTCTTCCTGTTCATATAGAAAGATACCCCAGCTGATTAAATTCATTTGTGTCTTACTTCATTTCCATTTATAGATGATAACCAAATCTCATGAAAAATAAATGGAAGAAACATTTGAGTAGAAACCTGAAGTCTGTACCTATACCTATGTGTATCTGGCTCTGACATCTAAATGAAGGAAGCTGGTCATAATATGCCTGTAGGAATAATGAAGAGAAGGCTGGTTTTAGACCGATGGCATCTGAGTCAGGCAACTGAACAATGAAATTCAGTAGAGTGAATTCCATTCCCTTATAATCTTATGTATTTCTCCAAACCTAGTGACTAGGATCAAGGAATAGTTACTCAGTTATCATAAACATATCCTTCTACATGACCTTAGTGTGTGGCAAGTCCATTGTCATCATCTTCAGTTATCAAGGGATTCATTCTTTGAGCCCAGCTTTATCACCACAAGTACTACTTGCTCCTGTATTGCTTTTCCTCTTTTATTTTCCTTTCTATATCTCTTGTTCTGCATGTGAACTTGAACTGATCCCAAGTTAATCCTCCAAAGCCTGACTGACTCTACATTCTCAAGTCTAATCTGATGCATTTGTTTTCCTTATTTCTCAAAAGTTGTCAGATTAGTCTTAGTCTTAATTTTGTTCTTAGGGCATTCAAAGTCTGCAAAAACATATAGAAACTAACCTCTCTTACAAGACACCCATGATTTTAGATTCTCCTCTTATTTCCTTGTGAGGCATTCTGTTTCTTTCCTTCGTGTTTATAATTTATCTTTACAATGATTATTATTTTGTATAACATCTGATACTATATACTATATATGGATTGCAAATTGCATTGCATTATTATAGTTATTTCCCTTAATCATGTTATTCTTGACAGGTTACTTTTTGTGATTATTGTAATTTTCACAGTATATTAAATCCTTAAATGTCTAAATCATGAATTAATATTGCCTATAACTATCAATTCATAAACATTTGACTAAACTAAGACCAAGTCCTTTCCACTTTTACATTTGTACCCAATTCTGGTAACCCATAAAAAATACTGTAAAACCCATGCTATGTGGTTGAATATTTAGTTTATCCCCAGGGTTTTACTATTTTAGATGATTGCCCCCTGCTGGAGTCCTCAACCTCTCTAAGTAACAGACAAACACTGTTGCTGCAACTAATTTCTTTCTCATTTAGCTTAAAAGACTTCACGAAAATTTCCCAGGGCTACATGATTAGTCATGAGTCATGTTAAGTCATTCTTGATTAATCATTCTTTTCTGTTTTTCCATAAGATATGCTCTACAACAGACAAACAGAGTAATAAGATTTGAAAATGTATTTTTTTTTTTTTTTGGTTTTTCGAGACAGGGTTTCTCTGTGTAGCTTTGCGCCTTTCCTGGAACTCACTTGGTAGTCCAGGCTGGCCTCGAACTCACAGAGATCCGCCTGGCTCTGCCTCCCGAGTGCTGGGATTAAAGGCGTGCGCCACCACCGCCCGGCTTTGAAAATGTATTTTTTACACCCACTTTTGGATGAAATAGTTAAAAACTCACAAAATATAGTTTGATTTGCCCACACATCTTGGATTTAACATTTAAATGTCTTAATGGAAATTTTATTGCATTATTAGAATTTTGAAGGTGATTTTGTTTTTGTGGAGAAAGTACAAAATCCACATTTAAAGTTTAAATCTCAATTATTGGGAGAAGCACTTAGATCCCTTTACATTATTCAGAGATATCAGTATCTTGATTGAAGAAGGTGGATGCATTGGGTTATGAAACTAAGAAAGATTATGCTTTTGAAGGATTATAATAATTTTTGTGTATGTGAGATTATGGTACAAAATTAACATAAAATTCTGACAAAGATATCCTAATTAATTTAAGTTGTCAAAAGAATGGGAGTTTTAAATTCATATTGCAAAAGGGAGAGAAATAATAATAAGTCAGAGAGTCATCTTGGTGTGATGAGATTGAAATCTCTCAGGAAACAGTGATGGTCTTTTCATGCTCTTGGACAAGAGGTCAAGTTGTTCATTTCAGAGTCAACATGGTAAAACAAGTTGGAAAATTCTCCATTTCTAATCCTGTGGTTCCAGTCAAATAAATGGGTACAAAAAATGTCAATTTGCTTTCTTCTCATCTATATTAAGTGTATTAGAAGTACCAATAAAGTTTGCTTTAAGCAATGATTCCATATATTACAAACAAAGGCAAATATTACGAAGACAAGGAATTCAAGTTCAAAATTGGAATTCAAAATTATTCTGGAATTCAAAAATATTTCTGGTCCAATTGTTTTAGATGACATTCATTTAACTTATATTTCTTTGCATTTGTTTAGGAGGTTAGTTAGAATGAAAGTACAGAATGAATGAAAAAGATCTATATTTTATTTCTGTTATTTTTAGTTCATCATAGAACCAAATTACTTGACAGTATGGCCAGACAACGGATGTTAGGAATTTAACTTTGCATTCATAAACTGACAATTTCTTCTGCTGAGATGGCTAATGCCGCATTATTCCAGCCATGGAACATTTTCTAAACTTGTAAACACTTGGATCTCCTATTTTATTGAAAAAGAGCTTCTAGAGGATAATGTAACCTTATTGTACTTTGGTAGTGTACATGCTCAAAAGTATGTGTGAAGAGAAAAGAATATGCAATGATAAGTTTTATTTCAGAAAACACTCCTGATTCCATAGATATAGAAACACAAGTGTACCAAGCTTTTTCTTTTAGGTCACCAACCAGCTCCCAAATCATGACAAAGAGACTTATTATTAGTTTTGAATGTTCAGCCTAGCTTGGGCATGTTTCTGGCTAGCTCTTTGAACTTAACCTGTTTCTCTTTATCTGTCATTTGCCTTGGGTGCTGTTTACCTTTCCTGGCTTTCTTGCTGGCTCTATGTCTGGCTGGCTAGTCGCTGCCTGGCTTCTTGACCAGGGCATGACTCATTCTCTCCCCCTTCTTTTTCTTCCTTCTCCAGAGCCTAGATTTTTCCTCCCATTTATTCTCTCTGGCCACTAGGCCCACCTATTCTTTCTCCTGCCTAGCATTTGGCCATTCAGTTTTTTATAAGACCAATCAGGTGCCTTAGGCAGGCAAGGTGAAACAAATGCAACACATCCTTACTGAATTAAACAAATGCATCAAAAACAAAAGCAACACACCTTTACACAGTTAAAGTAACAGTCTTTTACTGCTTTATAAAATAGCTCCACATGCTTACATATTTTAAAAAATAAGATTCTATTAACTTTAAAATAATTTATTATCTATTACATTTTGAGCATACATTAATTCTTAATTGAAATATAAACAATAATAAATATGAGCAAAACATAAATATAAGTTAAACTATTATTTTTCTATGCAAAACTACAATATAAAAATTTAAATAGATGAAAATTTATTATCATATACTGATGAGATTTTCAAAGTATTATCTCAGAAAATAGTCTTTGATTCCTTACCCTTGGTTATAAGTTGCAGGACAGTAAACAAGTTATTTTGAAAATAATTTTACACATTTATTTATTTATTACCACGAAATATCATCTTCCCTTTTCCAAAACTGACTTTTTCTCACACCATTACATCAAAGTGTGGTACCTGGTATTCTTTTAGGAATCCATATTTTCTCACTTCAATATGTCTCAAATAAATAACCAACAAAGCTCTGAATTAAAGTTTGGGGAATTAGCAGGTATTAAGGGAGGAAGTATCATTTTCTTCAGTGATGCGGCCATTGATACATTGCCCTTGGACAAATAAATGACATCCTACCAATGCTTCAGAAAAAAAAAAATCTAATTAAACTCAATGGGTCACAGATGCACACAAGCACACAAAGAAAACTATAGGGTAGGGACTTGCTGGGAGATAGATGTCAGCAGGAGGGGAGACGTGGCAGAGGGTTTGGGGGATATGATAAGGACAAAATTCATCACCTAAAGGTATGAAACTTAGAAAATTCTAAATCCAATTCTGTGTACTTAGGAATATAGTTATGTTTTCCTTCCATAGTTTCTTAGAAATAAACTGATGTTTTCAGGTAAATAAATACACTTAACAGTTTATGTGCTGTCTTTTCAGAGAAAGGTATAGAATCTTAGGAGTGCTTAGGGATGCCGAATCGTAGGCACTGGGACTCAATTCTGAGTGTCCATTGACTCAAGAGAGAAATGCTCTTTGTTGGAATTAAATAGGTATGCTTGGAAATGGCATGTGTCTTATGGAAGAATTAACTGAAAGGTTGTGCTGGTAACATTGAGGACAACAATTTGAGGGTGGTTGTTTCACTACAATTACACAGGAATAATTATTTGAGTATTCTATGATCATTTTTTGAGGTGCCTTGTACCATTTAAATATAAAAACTAAAGATTAGTTTTATTATTAATTTCTCTCTCTCTCTCTCTCTCTCTCTCTCTCTCTCTCTCTCTCTCTCTCTCTCTCTCTCTCTCTCCCCCTCCTCTCGCTCTTCCTGGTTCTCTCCCTCCCTCTCTGTGTACTCTTTCCCCCCCTGATTTTCTCCTCTATAATATCTGCACCTTCCTTTCTTCCTTCATGGCTGCCTTGCTGGAACCACCCCTCCATCATCTTCTCCCCGGCCCGAACTTTCTCTTCGTGCTAACACGTCCTCCTACTTTCCCTTCCTCAAACACTTCCCTTCTCGCTGTCACTTTCTTCCTCCCCACCATCATCACTTCCTTCTTTACTCCTCTCTCCTTCTCTTTCCTCTACCTCCCTGTCCTCTTCCTTCCTTTCTCTCTTTCTCTCCAGATGACACGAGAACAATATATACTAGCAACACAACAGAACAGCCTGCCGAGAACTGAAAATGCACAACTTTACCCTGTGGGGATTTATGGATGGCGAAAGAGGTGCTTATACTTCTTTGTCCTTCTGCTGTTGGTTACCATGATAGTTAACTTAGCCATGACAATATGGATATTGAAGGTTATGAATTTCACTGTGGTAAGTACCACCATGATTTTACATCTATTGCTTTGGGATCAAGGATGATCTAACTTTATTGTCATTTTCCATTGCAAATGATTCATTTTAATCTTTACAAGTATATACCTTTAAGTTTCCAAAGTGATCACTCATGTTACTTTAGAATTACTTTGAACATATTTAGATTTGATGTGCATATGATATTCATCCTGTCAAGACTGGAAAATTTAGATTATAATAATAAAAGAGTAGTTTGATTCATAAACAACTTCCTATGTATTTATATACTAAACATTAATCAATGCTTGTTACACTTGAACAACAAAGAAAAGACATTTTTAAACTTTAATGTTCTAAAACATAACTGTTTGGATTATTCTTGATATGTTTGTGAGTCCATGCTTATCTTTATTTGCCTTCTAAGCCCTGGACATTCTCCAGTGATGAAAGGATCATGAATTACAACTGACCTCCCAAGGTCAACCATTCTTTCTGAACTTATGTTTGGTATATAGAAGATAAAACACAAATGGACCAGAAATGAAATTATTTTATGATTAGTAATAGCTTAATAGCAAAAAGATTCTGGAATTTATTGATGAGTTTGGTTCTACATTACTGAATGTGTATAATAAATCTGTGAATATGACTTACATAAGAAAAACTTGTCTTAGAAATGTGAAGCTTAGGTTGGTTTACATTTCCAGACTTAGCTCCTAAACATTTCAGGCTTCCTTCTAAGCCATTCTGTTGTGTCTTTGCTCACACAGCTCAGATATCTTTACAGTCAGGTAGGTATATCTTCCTATTCACACTCTTCTTGTTCTTATTTTCTGTGTTCTCAAGGGTAAATCTAAAGTTGGCTGCTGTGACCTCATTGAATCCCATGTATCAGACTGGTTGTTTATTATTTTTTTAAATTTTACTAGATACTGATTTAACAACAACAATGAAAATCCCTTTCTGACTTTGTTAACACAATGTTCTACCCTGAAAGAGAATCTCAAAGTGGATAGATCTAAGCATCACATCACAGTGTAGGGTGCTGCCCACATGTGCAGAAGAAACCTAGGTGGGCAGGTGGACTAACCCACCACCCAAGAGAAATAAAGTTTCAATTCACAGTCCAAGAAACTATAATCGTGGAGAAAAAAATGAAGTCAGGAATAATTCCATTTGTTCTGAGACATTGTAGGTGTTGAAAATAAACATAAACTATAAAGAGAAAGCCTGGGTAAGCAGGAAGCCGATGTGTTTTTATTATTTTCTAAATAAAAAACAAACAAGTAAACAAGAAACATAATTAGAAATTATTTGAAATATATGGTCTTGGATCAAGGCAAGGAATTCTGTAAGAGGTGAGGTGCAGAGATAAAGTTTGCTTATGAGATTCATTGCTAATGAATCCAAAGCACACCATTGTCAAATGGCTGGCTCAGTTTCTCCTGCTTTTTGGGGAAATTTGGGTAAAGTTTGTATCCTATACTCTGTACTTTCCCTGATATCTGCATTATTGATTGATTTATTGCTTGGTAAGTGACACACTCATAAAAAATTCTCTTTCTATTCTATACCAGCTAAACTAGTGTATGCTAATGGCACTGTACTGTTTCCAACATTATTTTCTCAGTAATTTAAATCCAAATAAAACCAAACATTTTATATATATATATAAAGTACTGTGTATTGCATCTACAAATTATGGGACCTGATGAAGGTGTGTTCTTTTATTATAAAACTTTTAAAATGAAGTGTAATTATAATATAATTGGTATGTATGTATAAGTATTTCCCCATATAGTGTGAGACTGGAATAAAAATAACAACTTAAATATCTTTGAATGAAAGAATAAATAATATTTTTAACTATTGAAATGTAATGGTTTGGTTTCCTCTATCAAAAGCCATCTGTCAAGGTTTATGAAAGAGCAGGTCAGCTCTGTCATGCTAGAAACGCTTGCTTCCATGCAGGGGACCACAATGTGGGAATGTTTAGCTTCAAGCCAGGTTAGCTTCTAGAACATATTTAAATTAATTAGAAAATATACTAACCACATAATTACATGGCTGTGTGCCTCACACTCCTAGGACATTGCCCCATGCTGACACAAAGGCCCACAAAGCCATTCCTGAGTTGTAAATGTAAGCATCACCTGTGTCTTCAATATTCTTGTAAGCCTTGGGGTTTCGGTCACCCACAGAGCAACATAATTTGAGCCCCAGTTGACCCAAATTTAAATGCCAGTGTATGGCAACATAGTCTTGGGGTTAATGAAAACTGATTGTGTACTTTTTTTCCCACATGGTTTTATTTTCATTTGCTGTGTTTTTCTTCACTTACTTGTTAAATCTTGATGTTACCTATATTAAGATGGAAAATGGTCCTTTTGTTAACTACTGAGCTAGTTGGATATAGTCTCATGCAAGCAAAGTTATGATAATGTTTCTAATTACCAATCTACTCCAGTATACTTATTCATAATTTTCAGAGATATTCAGAATTTAAGTCACTGAATATTATTGCAGTCTTAAATAGAATAGATTAAGTTAAATACAGTTGAAAACACTCAACTAATTTATATTTCTCTTACAAAGAGCAGTAAAAAAATGAATATTATGCTTTGCTACTAAAGTATGTGTGGATCTCTTTACCCAGTGTCTACCAGATGTAGTTGTTATACTTTGACAAAGAACACATAATAATGTGTAAATTATTTGGGGAGTCTTATTGATCTATACAAAATGTATTTCATTTTCTTTATAACTGCTACCTTCCATTACATGGGGATATGCAGCTGTTAACATTTATTTGAGCAAGGTGGACATGTTATTGTTTTCAAAATATTATGTTTTCAGCACAACAAGGCTGTCTAAGAGCATGTTTTCTGATGTTCCTAAAATTACATCACTGTGACTGGTACTACACGTGGTCCATGTGATTGATATGACCTTATTAACTCCTGATTCTCATTTTGTGACAAATAAAATCATTCTGCTTATTGAGATGTCAGTAGTAGAAAGCCAAGAAAAAGGAAATGAGTTAATACTGCAAGGTGAAAATAAAAAGAGAGATAAAAATAATAATTTCCTGGCTATGAGAGTTAATAATAAAAGAACTGAGTCAAAGAGGGGAATTTGAAGCTCACTCTCCCATGATCAGTGGTATCCAACTACAAGAGGATTTGTTGATATCAATCAGTTAATTGGTATACCTTTGTGGTTCAATATGAATCAAGGAACCTAAAAAGTCTATCCATACAGTCTTTCAGCTGAGGCAATGCTCTTCTTGGTTCAGATCTTATTCTAAGTAAATCAACTTTGTATTTGAAAACAGAAGTTTATGTAACAATGAAGTATTTATTGTAATAATAATGGCAAAGAAAGTTGCTGATTCACATCTCCTGCAATATAACTTTATAGGATATGTCAAGTAGCTAGTAATGGGGTATGGGGAAAGTTTGAAAGGTAAATAGGGGGATGAATGTGTTCATAAAATATTGTATATATGTAAGAGATTATCATTAATAAATAAATATTTTTAAAAGAATGAGAATACAAATGCCATGTACTAAGTGAAAGGGAATCATAAAATTATGAATTCTACGACAGAAAAGCTAACAATGCTCTCTGTTGAAAATAATTAAAATAACCAGCTAATGTAGCTTTTCAAATACATACCTGAAGAGTGATATGATTAGTTGAATGAACGATGGCTGAAAGGAAGTCATAAGGGAAAGAGGTTTGAGTATTTTAGTCATTTTGAATGAAAGGGGACCTGTGGAATCCATCATTCAAACATCTATATATTGCTAGGGTCATTTTCTAAATATCACATCTCTCTAGACATTTAGTATATACTCAAATCATTCTTATAATGATAGACTGTTAAGCCAAGTTACTCATGGGACCATTTTTAGTGTCCTCATAATTTGATGTAGTCTCCTAGTAACTAAGTTCTGACCCTACATTCTAGTTCCATTATTTTAATGGATATGAGCTTATTGTTATATATATTTAAATAGTTTATTTATTATTAATTTATTAATTCATTAATATTTTATACACATGTCTATAGAAAATTTTAATTGCATTTTTCTTTAATGCATAAAAATCAAGATAGATAGGAAATATATTTTGTGAAAAATAAATGTCATCCCCTGTTTTTCTTCATTTCAAATATTAAACATTATATAAGTCCAAGATATCCAATTTTTTTCAGGATGTTTTTTCATGTAATGATCATAGGCCAGAGAGTCGTTTCTGCTTTCTCTGTCCCATTGAATTTTTTAAGTTATTTTTTCTGAAGTTCAGGTTATAGTTATTACCCATATTTATTCATGAAAATATCTCTGAGTTTTAAATCATGTGGTTTTTTCTTTCAATCACAGTTAAACTATAATCTCCTATCATGTCATTCTTGAGACCAGTGATCTTTTGTCTTCATCATTAGCCTAGTGACATTTTTCAGTATTCTCATCAATCTATCTGATAAGGCTAAGTACACTTACAATATGCTCTCACTAGTTATTATGTCCTTCCAACACTTATTTTCATATAGTCTCCAAGGTTTTTCAATCAAATCACTTTTAAGTGAAATTTTCTGTCTTCTTTTATCTTTTATTATTATACCTAGTATGTAAAGATGAATACAGATGTTGGAATAAATCTCCTATGTTTATTCATCCTCTTAAAAATAGGTTTTCTTTGTAATTTTTGTTGTTTGGTTGTTTAATTTCCCATCACAAGTAATGATCCTACAAACCTCCCAATGGACCAATATGGATGGTAGGTACACAAAAACCATGTTCACTAAATTCTGTGGCTCAATTACAAGTCTAATAACTTTGACATTTAAAGCCAAGGTTTGTTCCCAAAGTGACTGGAGTTTCTTTGATTGTCATTATCAACTTAACCTTTTATAGACAAGGACCAGGTAAACAAACCTTAAACTTAAAACTCAGATCAGAACCCTTATTTCAAGGTGACTCCTGTTATTTCTGTCTATTTTTCTCTCCCTT